GCCACTACATTGTACTTGCCCTTCACTRGCTTGAGCTCAAAGTCGAATTGGTCTATCTCTGCGGCCCACCTAGTCAACTTAGGTGTCATCTTGGCCTGGGTTTTTCGCCATCTAAGCGTTTCATGGTCCGAATAGACTTTGAAGTGCCTCCCAAGCAGGTAATGCTTCCAATGGTCTAAAGCCTGCCTGAGAGCGTAGAGTTCTCTCTCATACGTGGAGGTAGCGACCTTCTCACAGGGCATCCTCGCTGACATGAACTCTACGGGTCTATAGCCATTGCCGTCGTCTTGCTGCAACACAGCGCCTATCCCATACTGGCTCGCGTCCGTGGTGACGACAAATGGCAAAGACGGATCTGCAACTTTGAGGACATGATATTCTATTAACGCGCGCTTTAGCTTCTTGAGCGCAGACGTACAATCTTCGTCCCATTGCTTGATTGCCTCTTTCTTCAGCAACCTGCGCAAGGGAGCGGCGATAGTAGAGAAGTTCCTTACGAACTTCCTATAGTAGTTAGCTAAGCCTAGGATCGACCGCAACTCTGTCAATGTGCGGGGCGTCGGCCAATCTCTGATCGCCGCGATCTTGCTGTCCTCCGGCTTAATGCCATCTCCGTCCAACACGTGGCCCAAGTATAAGACTTGCGTCTTGGCCCACTCGCACTTCTTCGCATTGATCTTGAAGTTAGCCTCTCTAAGCTTCTCCAAGACCTGCCTCCTCAGATGACCCTGGTGCTCCTCGAGGGTCTTACTAAAGACTAGGATATCATCTAAGTAGACTACTACAAATTTATCTAACCATGGTCTAAACAGGTCATTCATACAACGCTGAAAAGTAGCTGGCGCATTGGTTAGTCAAAAGGGCATCACTATAAACTCATAATGCCCGTATCTCGTCCGGAACGCAGTCTTGTACTGGTCATCAGGATGGACCTCTATCTGATGATACCCGGATCTTAAGTCTATCTTAGAGAAATACTTGCAACCCTGCACCCGATCTAAAAGATCATCTATCCTCGGCAGCGGCTCAGCATTCTTCACGGTGATCGCATTTAATCCCCTATAGTCTATACACATTCTCAGCTCTCCTTCCTTCTTGGGGACAAACAAAACGGGTGCTCCAAAAGGAGACGAACTGGGCCTGATCCAACCTTTCTCAAGGAGCTCGTCTAACTGTTTGCGAAGCTCCTCTAACTCTCTAGGGGACATCCTGTAGACTGCACCCTTAGGAGTTCTACTGCCAGGCTCTATCTTTATC